AAGTCCCTCGGCCCTTAAAGGGGAAAGGTTGCCTACCCCTGGGGAAAACCAAGCCACTTTCCTTCTTCTTTGCAGATAGACCCTTCCTTTGCCTGCCATAGAGGCTTAGTCCAACACTCAGATCCTTCCAGTGATTCCCAAAATTTGGCCCTCCAGGTGTTTTGGACTTCATCTCCCAGAGGCTCCAGCCAGCTTGGTCAATGGTCAGGAATTCTGGGAGATGAAGTCCAAAACATCTGGAGGATCAAAGTTTGGGAACCACTGCAACCATGCTGGCTAATATTCCGTTTTCTGCAGAACGTGCCTTTCTTAGGACGTTATCACACGTGGGCCAGAAAGCGATAATAAAGTGGAAATGAGGCATTCCGAAAATAAACGGAAAATAAACCTTGATTCCACAAATGGCTTTCACACGTAATTATCTTAATTGCGAATTTACAGTAAGCGCATTTAATGTTCACACACAAGTGAGAAAAGCCTGTAAATGTACTAGAAATGAGCTTCTTGCACATGCGCAGATAGAGGAATGCTCTCTGGAACCATGGGAAAAGCAGGGAAATGCTCCCAAATGTGCATTTGCTTTTCACATTACGGTAAATGCGAAATTACCTTAATTTCACATTTGCATTTCCTACAAACAACCGAATTTCAAAAGATCTCCATTAACACCAGTTTCCGTCCACTTTCTGTCCAGTTTCTGTGCAACATTGTGTGAAAACGCAAGGCACAAATCCAGTTTCTGTTTGGGATTTGTGTGGATTAACCAGCAGTTTTGCCCCCGTGTGATAACGTCTTTACGTGGTTCAAGTCCAGGGTGAGCAGAGGTCCCCACCTCCGAGGAGGACCAGGCACCACCAAATGGAGGATTTTTTGGAGAACAAGGGAGGATCTGACCAAAGAAAAACTCAAAACACTGCTGTTCATGCACTCACATGCTTCTTGGGCTCAAAATGGAGGTCCTTTTGCAATTCCTCCTGGACAGAAGGACGGAATGGAGGACACATTCTGGGATAAGGAGGATGGTCTCGTCACCCTGGCCCACACAGAGTGCCCAGTTGTCCTCACCACAAAGGAGGACAATGCACCACAAAAAAGAAAAATGGGGGACATGACCCCCAAAAATCTAAAAACACTCACAGGAATGGAAATCCATGTTTCTTAGTCCTGCTCGAAATGGAGGACATTTTGGACAGATGGATGAAATGTAGGACGTGTCCGGGGAAAGGAGGACGTCTAATATATCAACGTAAATTAATGCTTCTCAGCCAAGCTCTAAATGGAGGACATTTTGAAGTCCCTCCTAGACAGGAGGCTGAAATGGAGGTCCTGCCCGGGAAAAGGAGGACGCCTAGTCCTCCTGCGAGGAAGAGGGGCAAGGGGACCAGATGTAATCCTCACCATCAAGGAGGCCCAGGCAGTGCAAAAAATGGAGGACATGCCAGCAAAAGGGAGGACCTGAAGAAAAGCTCCAAACACTCAGAGAAATGTAAGTGCATGCTTTTCTTAAAGCCATGCTCTAAAGTAAACGGAGGACATTTTGGCATCCCTCCTGGAAAGAAAGCTGAAATGGAGCCCGTGTCCGGGGAAAGGAGGACGCCTGGTCACCCTGGCCTAAAAACATATCAGTGTCAATTCATGCTTTTGACGCCATGCGCTAAATGGAGGGCATTTTGGCATCCCTCCTGGCGAGAAGGCTGGGGAGTGTAGGACGCGTCCGGGGAAAGGAGGACGCCGGGCCGGCCTGGGCTGTGTCTGGCCAGCCACGCGTTGAGTCACGTGCCGCCGCCGCCGCCGCCGCCGCCGCCCTCCCGGCAGTTCTGGAACGCGAAGGAGCCGCGGCGTTCCAAATCCGAATGCGGCGGAGCCGAGGGTTCCATCGCTCCCGCCCAGAGGGACCCACCCGGCTCTGCAGTCTTCGTGAGGGCGCAGCCGTGTCACCTGACCGCCAGGCGCG